GGCAATGCTTCCTACTGGGCTAATTACTGGAGGTAATTTAACAAAACCTTTTGCCGCTCTGCCTGGCCACTCTAGATAACTCTCCAGAGTGGCGGCTGGTGAGGGAGGTTGAGCAAGGGGGAGCCGGCGGAGTTGGGGGAGAGCGCTTCAACACCATATAACAAAGGCATCTGCTGGGGAATGTTATTAACATGCAGCTTCTGAAGAAGACCACAGAAAAAGACACCTCCTTCGGGGAACATCTTAGGCAAAGACAAAGCACGCTCAAAGAGTTTGAAAGGATGGATAATTGAATTTTTCAAGGTGTTGTTTTTTTGATCCCCCCCATCCCTTAATTTCTGCATAGGACAAAATAAAATGTATGTTGTGGAAGATAAATTAGGTGTGTTTGTTTGTTTTGGGGTTTTTGGTTTTTCCTGTTTTGTTTTTCTCAACAATAGAAAGTGAAGCACCTGCCTAGTAGTGTCAAGTTGAAATTGAGGTTGTACACTGGATGCAGTGCTGATGAACACCGCAATTGACAATGCAACAAGGCCTGTTGAAATCAAAATGATCCCATTGTCACATCTCACATCAGTCTGATAGCGAGTCTCTTCCAATACCACACTTATTCGCAGTGCCTACTCCCTCTTCGGTCTGAATATGAGATACCGGTGTTATAAAATGAGAAACGACACGAAAACAAGTCACAACCTAAGAGCAGCTTGCAGCTGCTGCGGTGGAAATTGGACTTGGACTCTAAGCTGTGAAATTAAAAGCTGCCAGTCTTTTTCTTCTTCTTTTTTTTTTTTTGTTTATTTATTTTTACACAGAATACAGATGTGCTCGAGTCATCACGGCGCCACTTATTTTTCAGTTGTAAAAACATTGGATGAGAAATCCATTCTGCCTGAGGCAAAAACAGGCCCGTGGACTGGAGCAAACCCAGCCTAGTTGAAGTGCTTCTGGCAAGGCCAAAATAATTGTTTCATCTTTTCTTGTACCAAGGCATCGAGGAGCAAACTTAGCCAAGTGTGGTATTGCTCTACCTTATGTTGTATTGGTTGTCAGTTGTCGGTATTTTTATTCCCATTTTTTTTAGCAATCCGTGTCAGCAGAATATAATGATGTTCTGGCACCGTGATTTTGAAAATGGGAAGAAATGATCCTTATAGTGAGTGCTTTGTTGTCTTATCTCGTTATTGAGTCATCACTCATTTATCACACAAAGCTGTAAGGGATATTAAGGTTGTTTTTTTTTTTCTTCTTCTCTTTGTTGCCTTGGGGGAAAATATTGGCTTTTACTTTAATCAAATGAAAAATAGGATGCTTTTATCTGGTTCTCTGCCACCTCTCTTGTGAGTCTTTAATTTTGCTTTTCTAAAGTGCCTTTGGAGCGCTATAGACACCTCTGACTGCGTCCCACAGCAACCTTCACAAAAAGTAAATTAATATGTAGTTCATTTAAATCTATTTTTTTCATTCCCTGTAAAAACCTTAATTGGATATTTTCTGTTTCTATACAGTATACAGTGTTTGAGGTGCTCCAGAAAATTGATAGTAATCAAAGTCAGACCTGATTTTTATTTATTTATTTCAAAAATCAGAACACTAGCTGACAAGGTCATCATACACATGCATTAAACATGATATCTGTGCTGTGAATTCGTCTGTATTTGCCATTGAAATCCACTCTTAGAGAAGGACTCGTGCTTTTTTTCTATTCTTGCTCAGCCTCTGTTTTCGTGAACTCACTGAAAGGAAAGAGAGAAAGAGCTGTGCCTATAAATAGTGTAATATGTGTAAGGGGAATTCCTTGAAGATAAACTGATTGGTTCATACGTGTCATTTCAGACACAAGTGTCAGAAACTTGACAGCTTGCAGAGTTTAGCAGCCTCGTGTCTCACATGGGATGAAGCGTAGCACACTTACAGTTTCCCCAGTAACCACAGATGTTGGGAGGCAAGACTGTTTAAGAGTTTCGGAAATCATTTTTTCACGTTTAGTGAGGCATTTAGTGCTCGTTTTTGAGAAAAATCCTTTAGTCTTATTAAATGCAAACATATAAAGGGGCTGCGTTATGTGATAGCTGTGGTAGCCCTCAGATGTCAAACACACAGAAAACACCAGTAAACAACAGAAATGGAATAAAACACAAAGACAACGTTAAAGATACACAAAAGATGAATAAAACACAGGGAGTTGGATAAAACACAAAGTACATAAAACAAAAACACTACAGTAGTTTTGGGGAGACAATAGCGTCACTGAACAGCTGTGAAAGTGGCATAAACCAAAACATGCAAAGTATTGCACTGAGACGTGTTTAAAAAAGCAGAGAGAGAGTAAGCGCAGGTCATATGTTTCTATTCATATAATACTACATGTTATATACTACAGTAGACTTTTGTTATTAGCTGTTAACTTGTCACTTCTACAGCTGTTACGTCACATTATCGTCTCCCAAAAAAACTTTGCTTGTCTTTTGTGAGATTTTTCAGCATTTTTACATGTTCTTTTACAACTTGGGGTTGATGTTGAAATGTGACAGTGAGCACCACCGAGGCAAGCGATTTAAAAGACAAACAAATGGCAAAAGCAAGGGAGTGAAAGAGTGTTTTTTTTCCCTTTTTAATAGAGAACATTACATGGAAGAAGGAGCTCTGTCTTCACCGTGATAAGCTGTTGTGAAGTTTTCCCTTGTCTGGGTCAGAGGTCATGAAGGAGACGCTGTGGCACACTATATGGATTGTAAAGCATAAACTCTCTGTGATTTTAGCCTTTTAAAAATATCTTTACAAGAGTGGGGTGGAGGTGAAGAAGGAGGCTGAAGGAGAAGAGAATGCAAAACAAAGCAGTGACCCATCCTATTATCTATGGGCCTCTTTGTCTACATTAGTCAGATTAATTTCTCAAAGCCGTGCCACTGTTACAGTAATTTATTTATTGCGTGTCAGAGTTGAGAAGCAGGCCACAGCTTTAGTGTCTAGAAATTTATTTGCTGCTGCTGGTTCGACTGCAGTGTTTCCAGAGGGTGACACGCCAACACCCGTCAGTTCTCAGGAAGGGCTTTAATGCTGTGTGTGTGTAAATGTGAGAGGAGAAAGTGTTGCGAGCTCTTATATACACACACATTGGTGTTATGCACACGCAGCGCAAAGTGTAAAGCCAGTTTTTCTGTTTAGCCAGTTGTTATATGAACATAGGCTTTGGCTGAATGCATCTTGGAATACTAACTTATTTCTTGCATTAAATGGTGTTATTTTTAGAGGTGCATTTTGCTGGACAAAAATAGTAAAAATGACTGTTAAATGTAAGAGAAAGTTTGCTAGCAGGCCGCCATGTTGGTTTTTGCCCAAAATCTAGGAGCATGGTTTGCATTTGCATGGTTGCACGAGGCCGTAGAAGAGAGATAGGCCCTGTCGATTATCTGTTACGACACCGCCCTAGTGGCCTGTCCATCAAGCGTCCAGTGCTGCGAAGCATTGCGATCTCTTGCGTGCAAGAACCCCGTCTTGGGACATCTCCCATAAGAGGGTACAGCTGTGTGAAAATGATACGGGAGTGCCAGAGTGTCCTACCCAGTCAAATTGCAGTCATTGCTTTTAGAGAAAAACGGATATGATGGTTTATCCATGCATGAGGCCGACGTGTAAAATCACCAGCACATTTATTGAGTGTCTGGAAGGCATGATGGTATCCACTAAGGCGTACTGTATACAGTGCACATAACTGGGCATAAAATGCCCTTCTCTGTCAGGTTGTACCTGAGCATGGCCAATTGCACAGGCACACCTCCGAAAGCACACGTGCCATAAACAGACAGACACACATGTGTGCGGGCATAAACAAATACAGACTCCCTTCTGTTACAGCACCAGCTGAACTGAATCCCTACTCAGACACACACATACATACATACAGACACCCAGAGGCATCCAGGTCTTTGTGCCACTTCCCTAGCTACCTGCGAGACAGCCTGTGTATCCTGCTGGTATGAAAGGTAAGCCTCAGAGAGACGGAGCAGAGAATAAATGTGTAAAATGGGTCAGAGCCTGAATATCATTACTGCCCTGCTCCCCATGTGTATACTTACTGTGCGTGTGTGTGTGTGTGTGTGTGTGTGTGTGTGTGTGTGTGTGTGTGTGTGTGTGTGTGTGTGTGTGTGTGTGTGAGAGAGACAAGCTGTGATGAATTTGTGAGTGAAAAGGCGAAAAGAGTGTGTGCCTAGTGCTGTATGTGCGTGCGTGTGTCACTTTAGCTGCATTCCCACTCGGGGAGTTAAACTCAACTCTCCAGAGTATAAAGACTGCCATGGGAAGGATCTCAACTTGTCTGTTTTGGAAGGTTTTGTGTTTGAGCACATTGAGAGGCAGTGTCAGTAGTGTGTGAAGCCATGCCATGGCCCAATTTTTCTTGTCCGGCTCAGGAATTCAAAACACAAAGCCAGAGAGACACAGGAAGTTATCTGTATGCAGGCAAGATGGTGGCATTCTCCATATCCATATCCTCTGTCGAGGTAAAACTATAAATATTGTACGAGGCTAGCATCAGCAGCAGATCCAGACAGTGTTTACAGGGTGGAGGGGGGGGGGACTCATCCCCCACATATGGATGAGTCGCTGATAAAAAGGAGATATTGGTATTAGAGAGTCAGGCGTGTCAGACGGCCTGCAGCGACCGGAGCGCACCGCCGACCCAAATCTCCATTCAGGCGTCTTCGCTTGATAGCCACTCATTGCCAACGCTGCACACATGTGGCATTGTCATGAAATTGTGCTCAGTTGGGGATTTTGAAGGTTGGAGGGGTGGGCAATTTGTGCCTGCAGATCAGTAGTTGCATCTCAGCACGGGATAGAAAGGTGGGTTTTTTGTGTTTCTGTGCATGTTGCTGACACAAACAAGAACAGTAACAGTAAAGCCTCTGTTATCCACGGCTTTGAAAATGGTGTGTGTTCACCAGGATTTGAGAGCCTTGTGATGTATACTTTTTTCTTCTTTTCCCATTTTCTTTCCACAGTCCGTCCCAAAACCCATCGCCCTCGAGCCTTGCTTTGGCAACAAAGCCGCCGTGCTCTCCATCTTTGTACGGTTACCCAGGGGCACTGGCGGAATCCCTCCTCCAGGACAGTCTGGTAAGACGCAGCCTTTAAAATCCTTCACTTGTTTTTCTTTCCTGACTTGTTTGTTTGATTGAGCCTCACTTTTTTACATCATCTTTCCTTGATCTGACTTCCTCCCCCCTCTGTTATGTACTGTAGCTTTGGTCTTAGTCGGTCCATGACAATTTTGAGCCTTTCAGTCTTTTTTCAACGTGGTTCACTTCCTCTTTCTTTTGTTATCCAACACTGACTTTATGATCCAGCCTCCAGTGTATACACACACACACACCAGCTTCAGTTTTAAGAAAATGAAACTGGTGATCTTGATTCTTAATCTATAGATTAGTTAAATTTTTATTTAATATTTGTACAGGATAAACCTGCAAAATGCTTCCAAGTTAATGCATTTAATATACATGGATAAAAAATAATTGAGAGCTCGCGCATCTATTTTTTTCCCCCAGGCCTATATATTTAAATTAAAAAAAATTAGGATGCAAGGACCAGATTTGGGTTTTGGTGGGAGGTAAAAAAGCACTATCAGCATTTAGAAACAGAGCACAGTGAGAAGATGACATAAAAATTAGGAATTTAGAGATTTCTTGGTTCCTTTTTCAAAATATAGGAAGGAGAGAATATTTAAATCAAGCGTGCAAACTGATTTGTGACGTGCTATTTGCACTGATATTTAACGCTGGAAAAAAGCATGTATTGCGCCCTGTATTAGCTCACTTGCGGCAGCAAAACCTTCCAGCCACTCTTTAGTTTTTAGCAGTTGGAGAAAGGAGAGAACGGAGGGATCACGATGTGGATTTTGGACCCCATCCTGACAATAATCAGGCCTTGGATGGACGTCAGTCTGGATCAATACCTTTACGTAAAATATTAAATTTAATTACACTCAAATTGAACCGTTGTGATTTCAGGACCATGGAGAGCACTCAAGGTTTCACAGTGATCTCATGAGCTCTACTTGACCACATGACTGATTTTTAGTGGTGGACCTACTCAAATTCAGCTGCGTGCACTTTGGACCAGTTGCCAGCCTCTCACGGGGCATTCGCACTCTCATTCACACCTATGTGCAATTTAGGATCACCAATTAACCCGACCTCACTAACTGCCTGTTTTTGGACATCAGCTGACTGTGCCTGTGTTTGGAAAACAGCACAACAGTTGTAAATTACTCGCAGAACCAACCACACCTCTGAGTGCTACTTGGGGATTGCGTGATTTTTAGTCTCAGCAAAATCATGCACATCCATCTCGACAGTGGTCTAACATGTTTACAGTAATTACTTCATGTAGCACCATCGTTTTGATGTGGATGTATTCATTTTTAAAAACGCTGCAGCTTGAAAGCAGCAGTGCTATTCCTGGTTTTCCTCAGTTACTGCTCTTCACTCCCTCCTTTTTTCCTCTTCCTGTGGCGAAATGAAGACTGCTTGTTGCTTTCCTACCTTCATCTACTTGGTGTGTTAGGAAGCATACTGCAGCTATATCCATGCAGACTCATTCTGTGCTTGATTCCTCTCTATCCTCTTCTCATCCTCGTTGCTTTAAAGTGCAATCTAGTGTTTTTCCTGTTTCCCTCTGCTCCCTTCTTTCCCTTCCTCCTCCTTTTTTTTGCCCAACTTCTGACTGCACTGAGAATTGAGTCCATTACTTTCTTTCATCCTCTGCTCTGTCACTTGCTGTCTTCACATTCCCACCCATGCTTCATCTGTTTTCCTTATCTTTCTTTTCAAGATCCTCTGATAAGACCCAAGTGCTGCTTCCCTTACCTTTTCTTAGTTTTTGTTTCCTGTTCTCTTTCTTTTACTGTCTCAATAATTCAACTCGCCTTTCTTTCAGTATTTTTTTCCTCCTCTGTGTTGTATAGCTCTTTGCCTCCCACAGTTGCAATCCCCAGACCATCAGCATGCCTAAGGCCCTTATTAATTACCACATTGTCCTTTTGTCATAACAAAACTGCCGCGGCTCTCGATGGAGCTTTCCCTCGGGCAGCTTTTGTTGAGACCATGTTAGCCGTGTTCCTCCCATCTCCTCGTGCCCTGGGGGGGGGGTCTACCGTTATAATGCTTTTAACTTGCTCCCCATCCAGCCGTGTTGCTTTCAGATCTTTAAACTGCTTTCAGTTTTTCAGCATCCCAGCCTCACAGCACTCTTTAGCTCATTTCATAGCAACCAAAAGGATATCACCACCACAGATTATCACTGATTTCTATCTTCGGCTCGTTTAGGTGATTTGAGCCATCCTGCTTTTTTTTCTCTTTTTCAACCAATAAGAAACTAGTAGTATCTGTATGATTTCTCAGCATGCGACCCCTAGCGCAGCCGTTTTCTCTTTTTTATGCCTTCAGTGTTTACTTGATTGCAATAAATGCGTCTAATATTGGTGATAAATGGAGTTTACTGGTATTTCATGGCTCAGAGAATGTTATTAAATGTTGATGAAGTGTGGTGTAAGTTAATGATTGCCAGCTCTGCACGTTTGTGTATGCGGTTGTGAGTTGGCAGTTGTGTGTTTTGCTTTCCACACATCAGCAGCTTTCCCCACATTACAGTTACTGCATTCAGAGTTAGCCTCATATTGCAAGTGTAGCCTAATTAATGCTGGGTTTTTGAGACTGTTACCAGTACATACATTTCAGTGTCTTAATTTTTTTCCTTAATTATAAACGATCTCCTCGCCATTTTAACATGGCTTAGCATTTAACTTCTCTCCCTCTAATTTAACTTATATGCATCGATTTCCTTATTTATGGGTCAGTTTCTACTTTAAACTTGATCATTTATCCTCATTCCCAGCTCCACATTTGTATTCTTGGAGGTTAAAAGTGCTAACATCGCAGTTCATCCTCTGTCTTAAAGGTCACACTGTGTTTTTTAGGTTTTTTAAAGTTGTCTTCTGATTGGCTGCCTCTCGCAAAAAAAAGAAAAAGAAAAACAAAGCTCTGTGCTTGAGGTGATCATATTCAGGGGCGCACATGTCGCATGCACACCTGTGGACCACTCATGTGCACCCCTGATCATAGTAGATCGTACCTTGTCTTTTGTGGAGCAGTGTGATTATTTGCACATGTTTGAAACTTTGGACATGTTTTATATGTTATACAAAGTTCACAGGTTGATATGACAGAAAATAAGGAAAAGCGTAATAAAAGTAATTCATGTTTGTAGTTTTATATCTTTTACTTTAACTAAACGAGTCCTCCTGTGTGCGCAGGTTTGGCCGTGGCCAGCGCGCTGGTCGATGTATCTCAGCAGATGTGTGTGGGGTACAAGGAGAAGTCTGGCGGACTGAGGAACCGTAAACAGCAGCCCACAGCACAGCCATCCACCTGCATCTGACTGCATCCCCTGTCCTCTTCTACCATCCCAACACCAAAAGCTCTCCCATCAGCCTCCCCCACCCTCCCCTCGCCTCAGCCCCATCCTTCAGAGACTCCCACCAGCTCTGCTCTGGCAGGGAGAGGTGCATGCTGGGACGCAGGACTTGAACGTTTTGGTGAAGGGGACCGAGACATCTGGCAGACTGCAGCCTCAGAGGTCTCCCCCTTCCTGTCCTCCTACAGGAACTTTGATGCTTGGAGTCCCCTCGAACTGATCGACAGAAACTAGACACAGAGAGGGGGGAGGGAGGGAGGAAGGAAGGAAGGAAGGGACAGAGCAGGTGCTGACCCCTCCCCCTCAGCGAAACATTTTACATTTGTCGACACCACCTCGTTAGTCGAGGCGGCCACGGCTTGCTGCTAGAAGAGATCCTTGTCTCGTAGTTTTTGACAAAACAAAAAACAAAACAAAAAAAATCCAGAGACTTTGCGACCGTCTATGTTCGCATTTTATTTAAGTTATTGTTGTTCTTTCTTTTGTATTGTGTTATTTCAGAGGCAGGAACAAAACTGGACACGCTCAGTTGGACATGCACACACAAAAACGCATAACACACACTTCAGCAAGCCCTTGTACCCATTTGTAGCCCATTGTCACCTGCTGTCATGTTCACAGCTCAGCACTGAGGGCTGTTGTCACTGGAGTCCTGCACAGTTTGGCCTCCGAGCAAGCTAACAGCATGTTCAGTCTTCCTTTAATGAGGATCCACTGTAGGAGGTTGCCTGTGTAGCCAGAGCCCATTTAAAGAGTGTGTGACATTTCAATCGGCCTATGTGTCTTCTCCCGCTGCCCACTCTTGTGGCCTGTCTGGAGCTTTGTCTCTCTGTCTTTGGCCATTTGGCTGCCGAGCCGTCCGCCGCACAAGGCAAGACCGCTGCAATGCCTCACCCGTGCTGGCCGGCTGGCTGCTGGATCGCCAGTGCAATTGAAACTTTTCCAGCTAATTACTCTTCCAGTTCTAATGAAAGCCAATGGCAGCATGCAAAGCTCACTCACACACAGAGCTAGAAGTAGTGGTGGGGTGGGGGGGGGACCTCTGGCAATTAAAAATTGTCCTCGAAACCATTGTGACACAGGCTTCCTATAGATCACGTGACTCTGACTGAAGTGATTTGGCTGATGTTAGTGACCGCTGCCAGGGCAACTGTTGAGCTCTGAGACTGTTGCCTAAGAAATCCATACCTTCTAATTACTGCTCTCATTTCCCAAAATGCAATGCATCCCTCCTACCCCCGGGATACCAGCATCTCCGCCGCTCTTATTGTGCCATTCGATTGCGATCGTTCCACATCTGTGATCTATCTACAACCGCCCAATTAGCCCATACAGCAGCGACGTCTGTGCCCTTATCGATGCGGCTACAGTGGAGCTGCTAAACCCCAGCGTTTAAATGGTAAAGTGCAGTGTTTTTTTACTTTTGTTAGCAGCCAGAATGCATGAGTCAGTGCCTGTTTCTTTAAGAGCATCGTTTTTTAAAAATGGACTTTTGAATTGGCCTCCATGTCTCTTATGTTGTCGTCTGGTCCCTCAGCTGCTTTTCCCTGCACTTGTCTACAGTCTACATCTAAAATATCGGTCCTGCTTTTAAAGCAGCATTACTTCAAGTGGGAAAATGAGGGAAAATGCAGAATAAAAAAATCTCAAGGCAAACACAGAAAAACTGAGATTGGTAGATTAAAACAGAGATGTCACAACTAAAGCATCAAATTTGGGTTTGTGCCATTTTTTGCTTTAGTTTTTCTTTCTTTGTTCAATTTTGCATGTAGCTATATATGTATCTTATTGTTCACATATACAGGATATAAGTTGTACACTGCAGCACTTTTAGGCCTTCGACACATTTGTTGGTGTATCAACCTATAGGAAATATGGTGCGTCTCCTGCAGTCTCGTAAGGTTGTAAACTTCCCGCTCTCTGGGAAGTGCAGCAATAGAACAATTTAATAGTTTGCATTCTACCCTAAAGAGCTCGTTGTGTTTAGTTCCTGGCTCTCACATGTGCGCAGCATACTAGAACTTCACACCGCCTGGTTAAAGGGCACACTTTTAGCACTGGGAAAAGGTCAGAACAGAAAGCATGAACAAAGCTGACATTCTGTAATTATAGAGTGCCGCGTGCGCTTGTGACTCCGCTCGGCGAGCGTCACGGCGCGGAGAAGCGGCTCCGTTCATGCTCGTGCTTTGAGGAATCAAAGTGCTTCACCTGCAGTCTTTATCAATTTTCCTCTGCTAGAATAAAGGGTTTGTTTTTTTACCCAACATGGGTAGTTTGATGTTTTGTTGGGTTGTTTTTACAGAATAAAATAATATTAATTATTATTATTTATATTAAGCTGAGGCTCTGGATCTTGTAGGGCGTTTTGGTAATAACCAACTATTATTACATGAATGTGATGATCACAAAGAGTCCTTCTGAGTTCCACAGAGTATTTTTATTTAGTACTTTTTCAGTCCCTTTGAAAACACCTACCACCCTGTCTCAGAATGAAGGAGTTCTTTCACCTCCAACCATTTGAAGGTGGAGTTCAGTTCAAGAAACTCTGATAAAACATGCTATGTTGGCCATTGGAAGAAGAAAATTACGCTTTGTGTGAGATTTGGCTTAAAAGTGAGACTTTACAATAACCTGTGAGGCAAAAGTGTGGCAGAGACACGACAGACACGCGGCTCGCAAACTCCAATTAACCGCCATCAAAGGTGGCGATGTGCTCCCAACACTAAAATGCCCGAACGGCACATGAACTACATCTGTCTTTCCTCTGCAGCGTCAGCAGCTCTGAGATCTGCCAGCACCTTTGCGTTTTTGATTTCTCTGCAGGTTAACGTTTTCACTCCGCAGCAGGCCTGTTTCTGTTTAACATAAAACACTAGCTGTTCACGATGCTCAATCGCTTTACTGTACTCTCCAGTGACAAAACCTACAACGGCAGTCGTTTTCATCATTGCAAATATGATTTTGTTGCATTGACTCTCTCCATACGAGTGTGGTGTACAACTGCTTCGACTGTACTGCAGTAATAATTTCATAAAGATTGTTTGTTTTGTTTTCTATAAATGAATGTAAAATCTGTGCAGCCAAGGTAAATCTGTAAACTGTAATTCACCGGGGACGGTTTGTCGCCACTTTCTTTCTTTGGCCGTGGGTGACAGGGCGGTGCAGTGGTTAATGCAGACGGCAGAGGAACTGTGGGATGATGGGTTTAGACCATTAAAGAGCGAGTTGTCACTTTGAAGTTTTTTTTTCCCCTTTTTTAAGAAAGACACTGAGCTTGTAAAGAAGATGTGAGCTCTGCATGCCCAGTCAGCCCACTGTGATCTTCTTCTGCTTGATGGTTCAAACGACACGGATCCTGTGTCGGATACTGATGTCTTTGAGATAATGTTGAATGTTTGTGTTTTTGTCTTTAACCTCTGTGCTATGATTGGCTTAAGAAACCCAAACGAGACTAAAGTTTTTCCAGATTTTTGACATGTATATGAAACCTGTTTATCTGTAAACATGTTTGTTGTCAGCAGCCTCACACCGGACTCCTACACAAGTCCCAAGCATTCAGCAATTAGATAAATTTAGAAGTAATATTGCAGTTTCAACATTTATGCAGGGCAGTTCATCCCTGGTCCACCCACACGGCTGTTTTTATTAATTTTGTTTTGCCGATCAGGCATCTTCTCAGGACTGTGTTGGCGTGTACAGACTCCGAGTTGTGCGTTTGCACCTGTTAGGACAGGACTGACTTACAGCTAATGGTAGGGCTGGACAGTATGACCTGATATCTAAAGCATGTCATTACTTTTATCACTTTAATAATAAATGTAACGACATGTTTCATGTATCATTAGAGCACGATGCCTCATTCTTGGTCTTGGCTAATTGCAGTTTGTCGGGTTCATAATTCTGGGCTTGTGGCCCAGACTGTATGCTGTAATTGGATAAATTTGGCCTGTGCGCGCATTCAAAGCATATTTAGCTCTACAGAACTTGAAGAGAAGTCCATTCAGCCAACTAATGCTTTAAAGGCCCTACTTAGTGTGCTTCAGCCATGCCGAGCAGCAAACTCATTTGCACTCAGCACGGTGAAGCCACGCCCAGCTGCAGCTACTGTTGTCCAGTTAGGTCGCCCCATGATAACCTCATCTCCCCCCAATGATGACTGATGGACAAAAAGGTCTTGCTGTTTTTATCTCAGCTACATTGTGGCTACGTCCACACGTATACGGGTATTTTTGAAAACGGAGATTTTCCGTTTTTGTTTTTAAAAAAAAATCCTGTCCACACGTAAATGCAAAATTGAAGGAAAACGCTGCTAGGAACATGCCAAAGCAACAGGTGGCGATATATTCCTAACCATGTAGAAATGTTGGCCAATCAGAAGTCTAGAAGCCTGGGTGGGAAAGAGTAAATAAAGATGACGCATAGAAGCAGAACTGAGTCCTATGTGTGTAGGGACAGTAACTGTGTGTGTATATGTTAGCGTTTAAACACTACAGAGAGTAAAATTAACAGTAACAGTATTTTGTCTAAGTCCACCATGGCAGAAATTCATTTCACCGAAACAAAAACGCGGCGCACAGTGTAACCTCAAAATAGGCGCACATCTTTGACGCTGCGTTTTCTCCGTTTTCCTCGTCCGCACATAAATGCAAAAACAAAGTTTTCGAAAATCTCCACCCTGGCAGGCGTTTTTAAAAATCTCAGTTTTCAGTGACCGAAAACGCCGTTTACGTGCGGACGAAAGGCGCAAACGCACAGAAAAATCTGTGTTTTCAAAAATATCTGTGTACGTGTGAGCGTAGCCTGTATCTTATAAATGAACAACTAATAACTAATTTTTGAGATTAGCCACTTTTTGTGGTCTTCTGTCTGCATTTAGTCGCCTTTCGTTAGTGTTAAAAGCACCGCCTTGGATTTTTAGTCAGTATTCCTCAGATGCATCACATGTACCTTTGACGGCTTGCAAACATACTGAAGGATTTTACTTTTTCTTTTGCAAAGCCAAATTTTAAAGGTGCAATATGTAGAACACCTTACTCTAGGGTGGCAGTGGGAAGGTCAGTGTTTTTGCATTAGCATTAGCGTTAGCAGCTAGTCTGGATCCTAAGCAGCCTTGTTTTTTTTTTTTTCTTAGCCTGACTTTCTTTAAAACTCACAATGAGGCACAAACAGTGCTCATGTCTGCCGTCTGCTGCTCAAAGTTCCCGGTCCTCAGTGTCCGTATAAAAGAAAAGTTGGTTTTTTTGGGGGGGGTTCTCTGATGCTGTGCCGAGTGCAGACTGGATGCTTTAGTGCAAAGTGCAATTGTGTAAAAGTACGGGTCAGTGTTGGCAGGTTAGCATGCCAAATTCGGTCGATATGTGTGATGCATACACTTCTTTGGAATAATTAAATCTAAACATATTGCACCTTTAAATGTGCTAACCTGCACGGCATGTTTTTGCTCTGATGCATTGCTGCTTTTTTTTCTTTTGTTTTTCCCCAGTGGATTAGCATCAAATCACTGGGACAGATGTGTTTGTGTACAATTTAAAAAAATTGCTGATGCGTAGCATTAATGATAAAAAAAAAAAAACCCTACAGGGTACCTTTAAACACGGCTCATGATGGAAATCGATTGCGTCCTGCAGTCGATGCTTTACAGAAAGGTTTCCACCTGTAGACCAGTGGGGGTGGAGCTACTCTGGTGTCTGTGCAATCAGGATAAGCTAGCAGTCATTTAAGCGCAAAACTGGAAACTGTACTCAAAAAATGTTATGTATTTGTAGCGGAAAAATTTCAAGTGTAAATACAAAACGTAATCATTCAAATTTGTGCTAAAATAATTTTTGGCAGCAACAGGGAAAATATTTAACCATCCCAGATTAAAACCAGTCAAACATAACCGTCCTTTCAAATTACTAAGAAACATACCTGCACATTCATTTTCTTCCCCTCTTATTTATTTTTGGAGTCACATTTTAATCAAAACCTTTACTTGGAATATAATAGTTTGAATCTATCTGTAAGGCATTTATTGTAAAGCATCTATGGGGGAAAAGGGCCTGCGTTTGCTAATTTAGTCTTGCCATCCTTAAATAGTAAATGATTATACCTCTACAGAGCTGGAAGATGGCCTCAGTGTGCCCTATTTTGTTTGGTGGATTAGTATTAAATATTGCTTGGAGGAAGGTTTTAAAGCTGCAGGAAAGCTGCTTTTTGTTTTCAACCGTCAAACGTGGAATCACTGGCTTTTTTTCCTCGTTATGTGTTGAGGAATCTGTGCCAGCATGGCATGAGAATATATATATGAAATGCCTTTTTTTTAAAAAGTCAGAAATCCAGCTCCAGTATGTGTCCTGTGTTTTTTGTAAGACCAAATTGATGCGACAAATCAAAACCTAAGAGCACAATACACTCCATTTTAACGTCAACGTGGGCAGGCCGAAGCTAAATCTGTTGACTTTCTCCCCTTGGTCTAAACGCGTTAAAGCCCAGCCCTGTTGGTAAACATGAACTTTAGCGTGGGCACTCTGCTGATGCCGCATTACGAGATTCCTGCATCCTAAAGTTCAGATTTTCCAGCCGATTACCTCCCGCTACCATTCGGTGTTACCAGGGTGTGAAGTGCTCCTGAGCAGCTCAAAATATCTGAGAGGGAGTGTGGAAGTTTGCAAAGGGAAACGTTTAAAGCGTGTACACTGTCACTGCCCTGTTTACCTGTCCATTTTTTTTTGTTTTTGATTCGAATAGATGGGCAGCTTTCTCTATTTTGCTCTGCTTTCCAGGCCTCAAACTTTACTAGGGTAACACTGAAACTTTACAGTGGCCTTATTTCACTTTATTAATCTCTGTATTCGCTGGTAGAAATGTACAGCAGATACATGTTCATGAAGTCTGTTTAGTAACTGGAAACGTTCCTAATATTCACAAGTAGACACTAGCTGCATTAACCTGTACTTAAAATGCTGTAACACCTAGGTTAAAGCATCTGAATAAGGTCATTGTAAATTCAGGCATTACCCCCTCTAGTTTTTCCTCCTCCTTCCTTTTTGTATAGAGGCATTATATATCTTGAGGAAGTAGGCTGTTAATATGTATAATTTAGCAGTTGCTGTTCTTTTGTAAATAATGAGAAAGTATTGTGAATGATATTTGTTGAATGGTTTAAAACAAATCATTTATGGCGAACCTCTCTCGGCTTTTAAAAATGTGACTACAGTGCATATTTTGTATGTAAGACAGCAGAGTAGGATGAACAAGCATTACTAGAAGCTGATGACAACTACATGTAAAACTTGAGGATAATAGCTTACTGACCTTGTAATTATTGATGTACATAAAAGAATGACAGAACATTTTTTTTTGTCTATTATTAAATGTGGAAATCCAGCCATTGCTGTTTGTCTCGATAACTACGAATAATTAATTTTGGAAATCTCCTGCAACGCTTATTTGAATGTGCTCGTTCGGTGCCAGAGGGATGGTGCTTCAGACTGTGCACAAATTCGGCTAAGATGTCTTTCAAGTAAGTACACTCAACTTGAAACGATTGTCTTTGATGCTGTAATTCCAAAACAAGCCCCTTTTGCATCCCTAGAGGATGTAATGTTCGCCTCGCAATGAAAGGAGCCGGTATTGAAAAATTTATGTTTACAGCAGGATGAATTTAAAAGCTGTGGAAAATATGACAAATCAGCTTAGGGATGGATCAGAGTGAAGGCGGGGTTCCTCCTGTGCTGTAAAATTACAAAATTTCATCTCCACTCCCGTTCTAAGTTCTGAAATTTTAAAACACTTTCCTACCTGCTGCTTAATACGGGGTGTGCAACGTTATATGTGAACACACCACAACACTTCTTTTGATTACAGTAGAGCCAACGCACAGCGCTGTTTATATGGAAAACCAAAGGTGGAATATCGACACAAACACCTCGTACCAACTGTCGAGCACGGTGGTGGATGGATGATGATTTGGGTTTGTTTAGCAGCCACAGGTTCTTGGCACCTTGCAGTCATTTTGTCAACAATGAGCTCCTCTGTATACCAGAGTATTCAGACGTGAGGCTATCTGTCTGACAGCTAAAGCTTGGCCCAACCACTATCATGCAATGATCCCAAGCAAAGCAGCAGATCTACAACAGAATGGCTGAAAAAGAAATGAATCAAGTTGTTCAAATGGCCAAAGTCCAGACTTTAATCTGATTGAAGTGCTTTGGCAGGACTGTAGGAGAGCTGTGCATCAACAAAAGTTCACCGTTGTAAACAAAAGTAGGTCAAAATTCCTCTGCAGTGATGCAGGAGTTTGGAAAAGTCATACAGGAAACAATTCAAGGTATCGGTGCAAAAAGATGGTTTTAAAAAATGTATGTTAGTGCTGCGCAATACTGTAAATGTTGGTATTGATCCGATACCAAGTAAACACAGGACCACTGTAGCCAACACAGCTGCTATAACCTAAAGGCGGTTTGTGGGCTTCACTTACTGAAGTTAGAGGATAGAAACAAAGTATCCTACCGTGCTAGTATCGCTCCAGCATTGGTATTGATACTATAGATATTTGAATCGATCCACAGGTTTTCCAATAGTTGGTTCTCAAGTTTGGCTTATGTTTTTAAAATAATAAATAAATAACGACACGGTGTCAGATGTCTCGTGGTGTTTGTTTCACGTTGTCATTTTAAGGTTAATGCTGCCCTGGATTGTAAAATATTCCCCTGTTAGGTGAAAGCTTAGAGTTGACAGGAGGCATGCTTTCTTTTTACCATGACTGTGCGTTGTAAGACAACATATGCTGGTTAACCACAGCAAAATACTTGTCCTGAACAAAAGCAAGCACAATTTTAAATTGAGATGAAGCCAATTTTGTCCTCTTTCACACAGGGTGAGTCTCTTTGAGATAAGACTTCGGGTTTTTGAATGAAATCCCACAGAATACAAAGTGCACTGACCAGAACTTCAACTGACTCAAGGTTTGGATGCTAAGTACTTCTATTACTTCAATACATGGAATATATTTAAGATTTTACATGCATAATGTATAAAGAATAAAAGAACAATTTTTATAAGTTGTCAATTGAATTTTTTTTCTTTGAATAATTCTGATGGCTTCTGGCACTTTGGGACTGTTGCTAGTGGACAGAGGGCATCTATAATGCAAGGAAAGACGAATCATATAGAACATATCAGCTCTGTGATCCATCGGGCTTTTTAAAATAGAGCACCATCATCATTTGACTTGAAAGCAGAAGTTGAGTTACAGCGTAAAACTCCAAAAATAGGTGCATGTTCTGGA